CTTTAATGGTTGTGTTGTATATTTATCGCCTGTGCAAAATATTTTAGCAGATTTAGGAGTGTCTCTGATACCCGGGTGCTATTTTTGGATGAAAGTTGGGGAAGTTTTTATATGACGAGAGCTTTCGAGAAAATTCCCTCGGAGAATTGGAAACGGAGAGCCTGCAGTATATGCGCTTAAACACATCTCCGGCACGCAAGATCACAGACGCATGTTTACATGCAGTCATGAAAGCATCGAGGTCTCAGGAGGGAATATATCCCCCCGCCGGCACGCCACATGCCATTTCTTTTATGCCGGATTTCTGACAATATACAAAGTAATTTACTGCGCCTGCCATCCCGGTGTCTTCAGAGATTCCCAGACTCATGCTAATCCAAATGAATGTGCTTAGGGTGCATGGAACCAAACCAGAGAGGAAGATTAGAGAGTTTCAGACCGTTTCTGTTGAGCAGGACGGCGAGGTATTCTCTGTAGTACGAGTTGACGTAAAGCAGCAGCGCTGGCGCTTGGCTCGTCCTGAAGCTCAGCGAAATGTTCTCTCCTCTCAGTGTTAAATCCGAGTAGATGGAGGACGACAGCGCGCTGATGTTCCTGTTCAGCTCGTACGGCTCTTTAAACGTGTACGTGACTGATGTTCCGGGTTTGAAGAAGGCAGAAACATCTGGAAGTGAGATGAAACGCACTTGGATTAGGATTAGACATACGCAGAACTATCAGCACTGTGCTATATTTACGGCCCAAAATTTTATTCATCAAATATTAATTTCATTATACATGTTTGTTAGACCTCAAGTATGTAAACATAACTTGTTTGTACATTCCATTGAATAATAATATACTGTATATTTTAAATAGAATTCTGTGTTTTCCATTAAAAAAAATGTCTGGATTGTGTGTTTTATAAATTAATACAAGATTTCAACACAAATGGTGCCTAATGAAGCAAATTTAATCAATGTTTTAAAATGTAATCAAATGAAAATATAGCGTTTCATTTTCAACCAATTTTTTTTACGTAACATTTTTTATACAACAAAGTGTTTTAATTTTTTGTCAAATAAAGTGCAGCACAACACAACTTGTAAGTTATTAAAAATGGACGACAAATATCTTAATTGTATAATATTCCTCAAAATAATAATAATATGTTGTAAAATATTATTTTACTATACAATAGTAATATATTTTGTCATAATTCCTTCAAGTTAAACTGAACATTTATATGTGTATTTTACTATAGATGTTATCAAATGAAATGGTGAATTGTTATTATTGCTAACTAAAACTAAAATCATTTTTGGTAATGCAGAAATAAAAAAAATATATATAAATATTAGATGAAAAACAACATAAAATAAAATGAAAATTAGAAATGGTGCCTTTGAAACTAATTGAAATACGTTTAAGCTGAAGTATTAAAATGACTAAATCTGAAATAAAAAGAATGTTAAAAAAATAAATAATAATTACAAAATTTAACTAAAAATATAAACTTTTTAAAATAAAATTTACAGTATTATGAAATATTTTAATAGCATATAAGCAACACTAAAATAACACGGACATAGAAATATAATAAACAAATAAAGCCGAAAATGTTTGTAAGCAAAATTTCCAGGGTTTTTTTAAGTAAAAGTTTTGTGCAATGACCTTTAAAAAATATTATGAAATATTATAATATCATATAAGTAACACTAAAAAAACACTGCAATGGAAACATAATAAAAATTTAAAGCAGAAAATATTTGTAAGCAAAATTTCCGGGGTTTTTTTTTATCCATATTTTGTGCAATGACCTTTGAGTTCATTATCGCCATTGACGATTTGACAAATATTGATATATAGCCCAGCCCTTCTATTAGGGTTAACACATTTGTTTTGTGCACCTTTATGACAGAAGGTTCCAGTGAAGGGTGAGAGACTGCAGTCGCAGGTGAAGCCATTGTAATTCTCCACACAGGTGCCGTGATTCTGGCACAGGTCCCCGTAGCTGCTGCAGTGTCCGGGACACCCCGCCGTCACTCCGGGCGTGATCTCGGCCCTCTCCTCCAAATCCAGCGTCTTCCCGTTGAGCTTCAGGGACCGAATGCAGCCTAGAAACCCTTTCTGTCTGGATGCGGTTCCTCCTGAAAACACAAGCGGACACAAGCACAGTCGTTCCCCAGTCCTTGAAAACATACAGCTGTCACAAAGCCATTTAAAAGACGAGATGATAACAGCGAGTAAAGATGGCTTTTATCGTGCAGACACCGGAACCTTCTCGCTCGAACTCGAGCCGCCCGTTCACAACAAATGACCGCTGACCCTTTCCCCCCCCACTGATGTGTTCTGTCATTTTCTGCTGTCAGTCTTTCACTGTGGTTTTGTCCTTGATATGGTAATTGCTTTTGGAAGAATTTTGCATTCTGTTCCTGCAGATGACAAGCTATAAATACAGAAATAATGCGCTCTGCATACATTAGTGCTTAGCGTTTTAGTGCTAATTCCTTTCAGCGAACACCTCGCTGTGCCAGCTGTGCCATATAATCATCTGTGAAATGTTCAAGGCAAAGTTGGAAATGCTGTTAAAAGTTTTGACATCCCAATGATGAAATACGAGACAAAGGCAAATGTGTATCAGGTCCCTTAAATACCTTAATGTTCAACCTAGACGGAAATCAGAGTACACGGAGAGCAATTGGAACTGTTTTCATAATAATCGAATGTAAAGAGTTTTATCTCTAAGAACTGTTTAGTGTATAACACTAGTATATGGGGCATAGAGTAATGAAAAATAACAATTGCTAGTTAATACCACTAACAGCTCAAAATAGCCCCACACTAACATAGTAACATAATGAGGGTCCCTACATGCAAAACGAAGCTTTGAGTACTTTGTAAGTGTACAGACCGTTTAATAAGAAGATACTTTATAAAGACAGTCCACTTCGCGTATACGGGCAGGAGCCATCTTTGGAAAACAGTCTCGACGAGTCGAACCACGTTCGTTCCAAATTACAGCAAAGAATATATTGAGTAAATGTGGTTAATTTTCACTAAAATAATATCAAAATGCACCCCCCCCCCCAAAAAACAAAAAAAAAACAAAAAACAAAACAAAAACGTTAATGGTCCTAAAATATGCAGAAAATGTATAAATAGTATAAAATAAACTGTGTTTTAATTGTTAACCGAAACTAAAAAACCAAAAACTTTGGAAAACAGTCTCGACGAGTCGAACCACGACGTTCGTTCCAAATTACAGCAAAGAATATATTGAGTAAATGTGGTTAATTTTCACTAAAATAATATCAAAATGCACCCCCCACCACAAAAAAAAAAACAAACAAACAAAAACGTTAATGGTCCTAAAATATGTATAAAATGTATAAATAGTATAAAATAAACTGTGTTTTTATTGTTAACCGAAACTAAAAAAACGAAAACTTTGGAAAACAGTCTCGACGAGTCGAACCACGACGTTCGTTCCAAATTACAGCAAAGAATATATTGAGTAAATGTGGTTAATTTTCACTAAAATAATATCAAAATGCACCCCCCCCCCAAAAAAAAAAAACAAAAAAAAAAAAAAACGTTAATGGTCCTAAAATATGCATAAAATGTATAAATAGTATAAAATAAACTGTGTTTTTATTGTTAACCGAAACTAAAAATATTTAAAATAATTTTCAATCATTAAAAAAAGCTGGAAAAAAAACAGTTCAATATGAATGTATATTTCGTATTAAATTACCTGAGCTGTCACCCTCTATAACTTCTAAACATTGTGTTTCTTTGTAATTCTCCTATTGGGGAAAGGTGAATCACAACTGAGATCTCCATTCAGTTTCCTAAGCGCTAAAAGAGCCTCATTTGTGTCTCAGGCAGCCTCTCAAAGCTGATATCTTGATAAAAATAGCTTTCTTGGCCATGTAATGTCCTGAACAAAATATACGCAATACTGAAAACGTCTCCTCCAGTACAACGACTGATATGTTTTACCCAGAAGACCTCAGACCTGCATTATAAATGGGTAGAAATGGAGTTCTTCACACACATGAACAGTCATGGGAACCTCCGAATCCAATTGCAGTTGAGTGCTGCACAATAGAACTAAAGATTGAACTATAATGACACTACTTTCTCAACACTTACTGCAAAACTCATTCCTGCTGAGTTCATCCAACAGAGAGACACCTTTCAAATTTGCCAGGAGCTGGGTCAAAGGTCAACAAATCTAGCTTCACAGAAGCCATTCACGTTGGATCACACTATCTCAGTGCGTTTCATCCCTGAAGTTTCCAGATCAAACCTCATATTTAAGGGCCATATTTTCACTTCAAAAATTAAAAGAAAAACTAGGACATTCAATTTTGCATAATCAAAATTAAGCCCGTTTTTAAAAACAATGTTTTTAGGATATTTCCTAACAAATTCTTATTATGATGCAGATGTTTTATATTTGTTATAATTCTTCTTAATAGTGAAAAATTCTATAATTACATGTTTTTTTCTTCATTATAGAATCAGTATAACAAAGACTACAACTATGTATGAATACCTTTAAATAAGACATTATTATCATTCAATTACAACAATGAGAGGTTATTTTAATATCACGGGAATTCATTTAGTTAATGTGAATGTGGTTAATTAAAATTTGTAATAAAAATATCATCAAACTATTAAAAAAATAACTTTTAGTCATTCAAATAGCTGAAATGAAAAACATTGAATTTTTACATTGAAAAGTAAAACTGATTTAAAAATAAACTAACATTAAATATTTAAAAACAAAAACCAATGACCAAATTACATTCACTTTAAAATTTAAATGAATCTAAAATGTAAATAATACTAAAATAACAATTAAATAGAAACAGAAAATAGAAATAATAAAAATAGAAAATATTTGTAAGCGAAATATCCAACTCTTTTTCTTAATTTATTTTTTTGTGATAAAAAATTCTCCTTTTTTCTTTTAGATTTTGTAGTGTTATATGATCTGAACATGTTCTTCTTCGTGAGATTGACACAAAAGGGACAAATAATGTCCTCCAAAACAGAGATCTGATTTCTGAACCGCACACAGGGTGAAGAGACATCCTTTATCTGATAAATGTTCTTCCTACCCACAAATAATTGGCTGTTGAGCTGCAGATGAATGTGTCCGTCAGCGGGAGCTTTCTGAAGGGCCGCGGGATGGTGGTCCACATACAGCGATGCCTCTTTCACGTTGCGCTCGGCTCTCACGTGATGCCAGCGGTTGTCGTTCAGAGCGCCGGGCGTCTCAACGCTCACCTCGAAGGGACCGTTTCCCACGTCGAACGAGAAAACCACTTGATTCGGAGCTGGAAAGAGAAACACATTTGATTGATGTTCATCATCATTCTAGCAGATTGACATTTCGCTGATGTCTCGTTCCAGTTTAGAAGACGAATGAGACGGTGATGGAATCTGTTGAGAGGCAGATGATGTTTGAGAATAATCCAAGAACAACACGCTGTTCTCTAATCGGCTAAAACTTGCAATGATGATAAAAAGGAATGATGAAACATCTATCAGCTGCCTCGGATGTGAGGATCTCTCATAAATAGCGCTAAAAACCCATAGGAGAGAAAAAAATCTCACATCAAACCTCTTAAACGTACACTATGTAACTTTTGGCCACCAGGGGTCACTAATCTTTTACAATATCAAAGGCGTATATAAATGACGCAAAGCATTAAGCGGAATTATGGATCTTGTCGTCAAGCTTATGGATGAGTGAATACACTGATGTTTTTAACATGACTGTGGTATGAAGCAGGGCGCGATTGCTAATGGAAACGTATACCAGCGCCACACGCAACGCGAGTCCTGTGATAATAAAGGAATAAGGACATATCATTGTACCGAACTACACGCAACTGCAGAATTAATAAGTTACTCACAGGTCAGTTGATTAGACGAATGAAACTTGAGGTTACGCATCGCTTTTTCACTTGCTCTAACAGTTACACTATCACACTAAACAGCTGTTGGATGTTGTTAATTAGGTTGTTTGTTGGCTGTAAAGGCGGGCATACACTGTGCGATTTTAACCGAATTCTGACTCGTGCGACTCATTTTCGTGTCGGACCGATTTTCAGCTTTGTCGTGCGTCGTTTGTCGTGCAGTGTTCGTGCAGTGTACAGGGAGAAACGAGAGGCGATTAACCTCTCACGATCGACAATCGGATGGTCGGATGAATTTCTGGCATGTCAGAAATTTTGGTCGCTCCTCGTGACTATATCGCACAGTTGAAGCAAAGCTACGAACCGATTGCCCTAAACTCAGTGTTTTTTCCCTCACTGCACCTGCGCGAAAACAGAAGTTTAACCATTTCATCTGCAGCAAAAATACAATTAAAATAAAAACGAGCTACAAATTACTGTTGCTTACCTCCAGTTCGTGTTGCAAAATGGATAATATTACCCACCGTCTTCAAGCCACCTGATATGTAACACCGCTTTTATTATTTTGTCAAACAATGTTTTTGAAATAAACCTGTTTTTAATTTTCATTGATGATTAATAATGGCAATGTTCGGACATATTATAGACTGTTAATAGTTATTTTATATATAATTCATTGTAATCGACCTAAATGTTTTAGACAATTTTGAATGAGGAGTAGGGTTGGGTATCGTTTGAATTTGAATGATTCTGATTCCGATTCCGATTCCTTGTTTCGATTCCGGTTCCTAAAGATTCTCGATTCCGATTCTTTTAAGAGGCAGGGTCAAAAAAAGTTTAGCTAACCAAGTCTTTCTGAAGGAAATAATCCTTTCTGAGGGAAATACTCCTTTTGTCACAAATTTTGCATTTTGCTGAGATTTCGTTAATTTAAAAAAAAAAAGTGAAACCACACTTTGGACCGCCAAACGTAAGCTACTCATGTTCGACTCGCGCGGTTATGCCAACACTTCCGGTAGACGCTTCTTCGTTGGTGTTGTTCAGCGGTTTCTTCTTCCGCTCGGCGGACTGTGAATATCGAAACTAGGAATCGAAATTTTAACTTTTGAACGATTCCGGGAAAAACGAAAAGTTAGTCCCGGTTCCAATCGATACTCGATTCTCGATACCCAACCCTAATGAGGAGTAAGATTAATATTTTATTATCCTCACAGCACGTTGGTTATGTGCTGTGAAAATATTGCGTGGCAAATTAATTATAATAGCGGATCAATTTAATAGTAAAATTAGCCTATAGGCCTCCCCTAATAATGATAATATAATAATAATAATAATTAAATGCATAAATTGAAAATACTAAATCATCTTGATACTGATAGCAGATGCTTGTTTTGACAATATCTCTGGATACATACACGTCTATAGGCACAATCCAGGGGGTTATCGCAGATATTACACGTATAGTGTGAGCAGTGAAGTCGCAGCTCGACGATCGGACCGTACAGTGTGAGCACATAAATCCTGAACTTTGGCTTTGCATCGCATGCGATTTACTCGTTCAGTGTGAGTAGGTACCTTGCTGAAATCGCACAGACATCGCACAGTGTATGCCCGCCTTAAGAGACTAGCAGTTAGCTAGATCAACATTGTAATAACATACAGATCATATTCTAACATTTCATAATATTGAATTAAAAAATGTACATTTGCTGTCTATTAAAGTATACATGCAACACTCTGTCGAGTCGAAGTTAGTGGCGGACGTGGAGCTCTCGGCATCTCGAAAGATGTTGATATTCGTTCTAGTCCTCTTTTTGCCTCAAAGTCTGCTTGCCAATGTCCATAATGTTTGAACAAAACAATAACAGCATGAGCGTCCTGATAAACATAACCCAGTCGTCCACGTATGTCGCCATGGTTACGATGGCAGTACGAGTGGACACCGAGGGTAACACGGATATGACGTCATTGACTGGCGACTCCTCATCCCTGCTCACACGCCCCGTTTCCTTGGTTAAAATCGCAATTTTCTCACGATTTACAAATAGTTGGAAACATTGGGGATATTGTAAGTAATCAACTAAACACAATATATAACATTGGCCGAGTGGTTTTTGGATATTTTACTGCAAAAATCCTGCATAGTGTACCTTTAAAGGAGCATTTCACCATTTTTCAACATTAATCTTTATTGAAGGTGGATCACATATGTAGTCGAAATGTAAAAGAATTTTTTAATTTGGTGCCCTCTTGACCGAGAAAATAACGAGGGGCGCATTTGTATGAAAGACTACGACGCCCACAATGCACCACATAGCACAGCTCAGCAAGCCACACCCACTAATCCGGAGTCTACTCTACTACCTTTAGAGTGGCAGCTTTCATTAGCCAAGACCACATCTGATTCTGATGTAAAGCAACCAATCACAGTTTGTTTTGTTTCAAGTCATGTTTGGGGGCATGAAAATCTAAAGTTGACGTCCCCACAATAACAGACTGATATTCAAGAACGCTGTGCAAGTTTACTGCAACAATGGCGCTGTGAACTTCACATACTTTTGAAAATGCAGCGTTTGGCTCATCCTGTAACAGATATAAACACAACAGCTCTCTTCTTCCACAAGGGTGTTTTAGCATCACGATGGGCGGACCATCAAGTAACGCGACACATACGTCTCCTGGAAACTTACAAACTAGAAAGTGTTTCCCATTTTGTGTGCAATACGCATCAAATATACCATGGACGTGCTTTCGGAAGCAGAGACTAGGTCAAATCAAGTCACTTTTATTTAAATAACAATATATACAATATAGATTCTTTTAAACCAGCTTCACAGTAATAAACAAGAAAATAACATTATTGACCAGCTTTGTTAAAACTTTAATGGATTTGTAGTATACTTAGTATGAAATAAATGCATTTTAAATTGATTTTTGTATGTTTTTTTTTTCACAAGGGCATGTAAATTATTGGTGGACGTGATTAACACGGTTAAAAAGATGCTGTCTGTGGATGATTGGTAATTGAAGTTGACGTTGAGTGATTTGAAAAAGATGTTTAACATTGACTAATCTTGATGACGTCAATAATTAAGTGTTTAAATAGCGTATGGAGGGATTGAATTATTTAACACACTGAAGGCTTGTGAGCTGAAACGTACGTTATCTGATTAAAAAGATTTAAAATGTTGAGTGCGGATCATCGCTCTATTTTCTCTTAGTAAAATTACCTAGTTTTTTTTATTAGAGTATAACATTTGTAAGCTAAATATACTGTTTTTGTATTTGATTTTGGAGTAATGTAATATATTTATCACATAGACATGTTCATAAACTGATAAATGTTCTTCCAACCAATTCCTACTTAAATCTAGTTTCCACATCTTAGTTTCTCACATATGTTGAAGAATGGGCAGAACTTCAGGCTCCCGCCGCTCCATCTGCAGGATTTCAGCACATCTGAATGAAGACCCCTTGCGGCTGAGAAAGATCGGCACCTTCTGTCATGAAGCACTTTCTAATGACAAAAAAACTCGGCAAAAACGCTGATGATGTGCTACGACCTCTTTATTATTCACAGCACGCGCGGCACAGCTGACAGAAAAACACACCGCTGGAGCGTCTGTGGGAAATATGACACAAAATTGAGTTGCTTTTGAAAATGTAGAAGCAACATCATCTCAATCGTTATTAAAGGGATATTTCTGTCATTATTTACTCACACTCATGTCACTACAAACACTTTCTTCCTTCCGTGGAACACAAATGGTGATGTATACGTAGCTGAATGTTCACGCTGCTCTTTTTTATATATGAAAGTGGAAGTTCTATATTTAATATACACTATATTCAGGGTTTGACTTTAACACCTGCCAACGTGCCAAACGCCTGTGTTTTTCAGCAGCGTATTTTGGCGGGTTGTGGCAGGTTGAATTTTATATTGTAGTCTTTCAAAAAAGCATGTGAAATAATAAACTAAGTGCAATGTAGTGTCGTCAAAAATATAGATTTTTCGATGCATATCCATACATACTTCAGCAGAATAGATACATGATACCAGCTACGCTTTCTGTCTCTCATCTTGACGCATAAACCTGCCTCCCCTCACTCACTCATTCATTGAATAATTTCATTAGCTCCGGACGACTATTGTTGCTGCGGGTTCAAATTTTGATGTGGTTTTTGCGTAGATATTACGCATAATTTTACTCATTCCAGCAGATTTTGTGTTCATAAAGCCACCTCTCAGTCTTAAACTGAGTTCTTTTTTGCTGCTTAATGATATATTATTATTAGGGATGGGGCCGATACCAGCGTAATTCACGTATAGGATTTTTCCGATCCAACCTGCCGAGAAATCCGATATTTATGAGCCATGTCTTTCCAAAGATTAAAGAATATATTGAGGTAAAAAA